CTGCTATATTGTTTTTTTTATAGGTAGACATATTCCAAATGTATGTTATAGAACTCTGCTATATTGTTTTTTTATAGGTAGACATATTCCAAATGTATGTTATAGAACTCTGCCAAATGTATGTTATAGAACTCTGCTATATTGTTTATTATAGGTAGACATATTCCAAATGTATGTTATAGAACTCTGCTATATTGTTTTTTTATAGGTAGACATATTCCAAATGTATGTTATAGAACTCTGCTATATTGTTTATTATAGGTAGACATATTCCAAATGTATGTTATAGAACTCTGCAACAGATCTGGGAAACCTCTCTACCATTTGGAACATTACATTGAAGGAAATTACATCAAATATAACTCAAACTCTGGCTTTATTAGTAGAGAAGCAATTCGACTGACCCCTCAGGTAACTACCCTTTACCAGCCACCGGCTAGGAACTTGTATACCTAATACTCAATATCAGAGGCAATAGGCTTATTAGAGTTTCTCTGCATTAAAAGTCAGTTTGGTTAGTTTAAAGCCATGGGTACAAACTCATTAAACTAAATAAAGCAACTGAGCAATTGAAGGAGGTTTTTAGTGTCCCCATTCTTCAACACATGTTCCCCAGAAGGGTGTATAAAACTGAATGAAATGATCTCATTTCCCATAATACTTTAAATGAACAACGTTCTCACCATATCTGCTTTGTTCTCTCCATGCAGTGTCAATGTAAACAGTGTAGAAGTAGTGTTATATTGAGGTTTGTTTTTCGTCATTTGCGAATATTTTTTGGCACAGTGATAGATATTTATCAATGCTGAAATTTGTAAGTTATATTTTCAGTAGTTTACTTGATGTTCTCTGTTTTATAAGGTTAGATGAGTCACTACTTGTTTTTGTTAGGCTTTCAGCCATTTTACCTTTGAGCGGTCAGGTCATGAGCTAATCGTGGTCGACATTCAGGGAGTTGGTGACTTGTACACTGATCCACAAATCCACACAGTTTCAGGAAAGGAATATGGGGATGGAAACCTTGGAATAAAAGGAATGGCCTTGTTCTTCCACTCGCATGTTTGTAACAATATTTGTGGAAGCCTTGGCCTTTCACCTTTTGACCTTGCTCCATCTGAGAAGAGAGTCAATAAAAAGATTTTACAGACACAGGTATAGCAATTAGTTATATTTATACATTTTTTTAACAGATTGATTTACTACTTTTGGACCTCTCAGTAACTCAGCTGTACGTCCGGAGACTTATAACACTCAAAACTGGGTTTTGATACCTGTGATGCCCACAGCACAGATAGTCTATATAAAAAAACAAACTAATTAATTTGTGTATAGTATTAATTTATTGTTCTACTTTTATACTCAAGAGTTTGGATGATATATAAAGTGGTTGTTTGAAGAAAAATTATGTTTGATTTATTTTATTTCAGGAAAGAATAGATAATTATTGGTTTCGTATTTATTTAGATACCTTTTAAATTAATTTGGACAGAACAAAATGTTATTGAACTAATAATTGACCACAGTTTTTAACCTTAAATTGGTGTGATTTCTATGCCTAAATGACCAAAGCATACTAACCACATATGATTTTATTTAGGACCAAAAACGTTATTTGTCTTCTCTTATATTTGTTACTTTTTTATGTGATACTTTTTAGAGACACTCTTCAATGGGGTAATTCAATTTGCAAGAGACACCTGTTGTCAGTTTGAAATATTAAGCTACATTACAGTAAAAATGTCACAAAAACATAACGGTCCTTTAAGCTATTTCTCCTGGAAATGTTTGTTTGATTTTGTAATTAAAGTTCCTTATTTTGAATCCGTAGCAGTCTTGCAAGACCAGAGTTCGTGGTACAGAGGAAATTTGCATTCTTCCTTCTCAGTATGAGCGATCTCATCTGACAGAATTTCTGCGTGCTCGTACTCCGACATTTAGCGATTCGTCCCCCCCAGATAGTCCCATAGATGCCGAAATCAGCGATTCCTCTCGGCAACCAAGAAGTAGTGAAAGTAGCAATCGCACCATGAGCTACAGCAGCGAAGACATGGATGGGAAAGACGAGGAGAAGAGCGAGGATGATTCGGATGACTGCTGCAATCTTGGGAACAGCTCGGACTCTTGTATGGGATCTTTACGGAGGAACAGATATGACTCTGAGAGCAGCGCCACATCAGTTGATGTGAGAACGTTTGTTAATGTTAGAGGTTCACATTAAAAGCATTCTTAAAGTCTGATTAAAAAAAAAGTACCGAGAAAGTTAATTTATACTTTCTCTTCATAAGCCTAGATTTTTCTCACGTTTATTTCCAGTTTTCTAATTCTCTCCTTAATAATGTTGGATGAATAAAATGTCTAACTATGCTTTTCAGTACACTTCAAGTTTTTTTAAAATAAACCGTTTACAAGTTTTATTTCACTTTCATTTAGTTATGTGGCCAACAGTCAGTGAATGAAGTAAAAGATTCACTTGCAAGATTGTGATTAGTTGATGGAGATGACGATAAGAACATAAATTCTTCCGTCTGTGTAACTAAATAAACATATTTACTTGAATAGACTGAAATACATTTGACATTTAAGAATCTATTTTAAAAAATCAATCTAATGTTTATGGATTTCTTAAAGATCTCTTTCGTTAGTAGCTGGGATGGATGAACGGTTTAAAATGTTTGTCTTGGTTTTTTTATTTGGGTAAAATATCTCATGCTACAGTAAGTAATTGGAATACGTTTTAATCTTTCCAGGAACATGATCGTATAGCTTTCCAAAACCTACTTGCTCGTAAGTCTCGCCCTTCCTCTGTCCTTAATGAAGTCCAGCTAAGAAAGTTGATGGAAAATACCGACAACATAAAGTCAGAGACTTCTGTGCTGGGACAGGTGTAACATTATTTTAATAAATACAGTAATCATTATAGAGTATGTTATTAATTAAAAAGTTGACTAATTGCTATAGAATGTTGTAAGAAGCAGCAGAAACCCACAAACAATTTGTGATCAAATTAGTGTCAGGAATAATACAAAAGAATTCTAATAGCAGACTCTGAAATCTATAAGTCCACTTGTCTAGGCCTAACATTAGTTAAGTCTTTATTAAGTTTGGCTCATATCTGATAAACGAATAAGTTAACATTGAAACTTGTGTATGTTTAGTAAGGGCTAAAGTTTACTTAATGGCGGAATAATACGAAAGAATTCTAATAGCAGACTCTGAAATCTATAAGTCCACTTGTCTAGGCCTAACATTAGTTAAGTCTTTATTAAGTTTGGCTCGTATCTGATAAACGAATAAGTTAACATTGTAACTTGTGTATGTTTAGTAAGGGCTAAAGTTAACTTAATGGCATCAATAAACAAACTTATAAATGTTATTCTATGGTCTAACATTAGACCTTGTTAGAGACTTTAAGCCTTTAATATGTTGTTGTATAAAATATATTTACGTCTGTCTTTTGTTTATATTCATTCAAATGAAGTACATGTACAGCTAGATAGTCAGGTGTGCTTACATTTTCAGGATAGACAAAAAACCATATATTACGACAGATTAGGGATAGAAATAAAATAGTGGTTTGGTTAGATTTCAAGTCGTAGATGATTATGCTTCACTTGGTATAGTGTTTGCAGTTTTGGTTTCCATAACTACCAAAGGATATTTACTTATTCAAGAGGGTTCAGAGGAAACCTAGTAAGATGACCCTGAGGATGGAAGGGTTATCTTATTAGGATCTTTTATTTTCTCTTGGGAAAAGAAGAGTAATGAGTAATTCTGTGGAATCCTTCAAGGATACTTGTGGGACCACTAGAATAAAATTCTCTGGTCTAATTTTTTTGCTTTATCCTGAATACAAGGGATTGAAAGGATACAAGTTTAAAATTTGGGTTAAGTTCCAGTTAAGACAGTTTAATTTTTTCACTGACAGTGGTGAAGGCCAGAATTTATCAAGAACTCAAGAGGGGAACCAATGATTTTTTGAAAAATAAAGGATGAATTTAAGTTTCTGTTTTTTCTTGGGGGGTGGATAGTCTTAAAGCACCATTTGGTGTTTCATAAGATCTACAATGATCCAATAAGTTTTAGACTACTTTAGGTATTTGTCTTAGTAGATTTCCATCACTTCGTGAATGGTCTAGGTAGGTATTCTCATGCCTGAGCTTCATCTGTCTTCAAGTAATTTAACTTCAACTTTAAACTATTTCATGCCTGTAATTTCACTCATAACCACTTCTATAAGGCCTAGCCTCCTCTGTGTCTCATCAGTAAATCTGCAGGCTTCCGACACTAGAATTTGGGTTCGGATACCCATGGTAAGCAGAGCACGGATAGCTTATTGTGTAATCTTGTGTTTAACAAAAAAACAGTATAAAGGTTATTTCAGAAACAACAAAAAGATGTTTGTAAAGTGTGATGAGACGTATCGTTGTTGATGTGTAGGTCCATCTAGAAATGGCCAAATACTATGAACTAGGACGATTTTTAGCAGAGGATGAAGAAGACTATGATCATGATGCTGCTCTCTTTCACATGCAGCATGCTGCAGATTGTGGTATTATGGAAGCTGTGATCATCATGGCTCGTCTCCACTTACATCTTCAGCATGACTTATTGGTTGGGATCTCTGTGACTGTAAGTATTATACACGCATCCATATCAATAGATATTGTCAGCCAGTCTTTTACATAAGGTCATATGGAAGAGGCTTAATAAGATGGACATTTATGTAAGGTTGCATGGAAGAGGTATGATAAGACGGGCTTTTATGTAAGGTTGCGTGGAAGAGGTTTAATAAGACGGACTTTTATGTAAGGTTGTGTGGAAGAGGTTTAACAAGATGGACTTTTATGTAAGGTTGCATGGAAGAGGTTTAACAAGACGGACTTTTATGTAAGGTTGTGTGGAAGAGGTTTAATAAGACAGACTTTTATGGAAGAAGTTTAACCAGCATGAATTATTATAGATTAATTTGAAACTGTATAACTGACCCAGGATTGAACCCTGGCCACAACACCACAAATCCAATCCTTTTCAGTACTTCTCTTAAAGTGGCACCAGCTTAGCAGCAGAAGCATTGAATATAAATAAATTAGTACTTAATGTGTAGTAATAATAATAATAAAATTATAACTAATTCATTATTAGACTTAATTAATAGCATCACAGTGTTAATCCATGCTATTTAGTAAAGTATATGTTTAATTCATTTTCAGCAAAACTAGGTTTGTATTGATATCTTGTGTAAGTGTGGTAAATACTCGTAAATTCAGAAATTAAACATTGTGGAATTAAACCTTGTTTTTTTGGTATATCGTGCACACTATCTCATAGGTTTCAGTTATGAAATCCATATTTTTTGTAAAGTTTTATTTCTTAGGAAAATGTTTAATATTCTAACTTGGGGGTCTGTTCTTTTTTTATTTTGTTTTTAGTATATTCAGAGAAATTTTTTATGTTAGTTGAATGATGTAGTAGAACAATAAATAAAAGGGAGAAAAAAAGAATGAACACCAAAATTTTCCCCTTGATGCTATCAAAACTAGATATATAATAAACTAAATATATCTGATTTTTATAGTTTCTTAAACATGGGAGAAACGGAACAAAACATTAGTTAACAGCGATTAATAATTGTTGTATTCATGTTTATATTTTGTACAATTAATTCATTTTTCACAGATAATTATATTAATAATAATAATAAATAAATAAATGTATTTTAAGTTTTTTTTAAATGTGCATATGTGCCGTTAACGTATTGTTTAACAGAATAAACAAGGAAAGCCACAGAAAAATGACAAGGTTTGTTCCAATGTTAACCGTAGAAATGATATCTAGTAAAACAGTGAAGCTGATGTTCAAAGAATAATGGTAAAATCTTTCTTTTTTCATCTTCTGCTAGGTGTAGAATGTGGATTGTGAACAGATGTTAGGACAACATTAAGTCAAACTTTAAAATAAAGTACCTAGAAACCAATCCTTATCATATCAAGCCTTCATTTAAACTCCCTTAATTTAATTACATCCAACCCATCTGAAGACAACCCGTTCTTCACCAGAAGAATCACGAAGGAGAAAACTATTGTTATATGAATGATACAAAAACTACAGAGAAAACTATTGTTATATGAATGATACAAAAACTACAGAGAAAACTGTTGTTATATGAATGATACAAAAACTACAGAGAAAACTATTGTTATATGAATGATACAAAAACTACAGAGAAAACTATTGTTATATGAATGATACAAAAACTACAGAGAAAACTGTTGTTATATGAATGATACAAAAACTACATTTCTTTTCCTTTTAGAAAAAAAAAGGGGGAATAAAAATATAGAGATTGTTTGGGTGTGATAGTTGTAAAAAGGATAACCTTGTTCTTTTTTATACTACAGGAGAACCAGGAGAAAGGTGTGGAATTCATGCTAAAGGCTGCCAAAGGAGGAGACAGAGCAGCTATCATTTTTATGGCTAAAGCTTATGATACTGGAGAAAACCTTGGGCTTGTAAGGTACTCAGATTGTTGAAGAAGGAATATGTTTTGTATAATTGTTGGATGATTAATGTAATAAAAATATCCTTCGTTGCTGTTTATTAAATCAGTCTGAAAGTGTATGATATAATAGTGTCTATGTTCTACTGAAGGTTTTCATTACCCTCATAACCAGGTTTGGGGTTCATCTTTATAAAGACCAATTATCTAAAGTGTGTAAGTTCAGTGTTTTAGGTTTCACAATCAATAAGTGTATGTAAATATTAAAATAATATTTCTAGGTGAGCAGAACTGTTTAATGAAGATTTTAAGATAACACTTATAATTAGTCAATCAGTTGTGTGATACATGTTACTCTGAATTGATATGTTTTCTAAATGTTACTTAAACTTTTAGAAGAATGTTAATAAAACTAGACAGTTCATAATTATCAATAACTTCTCATTAAAGAACTTAACTAAAATACTAACCCTGTAAATAATGTATTCAGTTGAATATTCTGGGCTGACTAAAAAGTATGAAATGTCATGAAACAATAATTATAATCCATTAATTTGTCAGTTGGGTATCCTCACTGTTATCAATGTCTCTGGCTATAATCCTAGTAGTTACTCGTGTGGTTCAGTCAATTTACGAGGTTGAGGTTAGCCATCAATCCTTTTATTAAGCTGCAACTGTAAAATAATCCCCACAGTAAAAAAATATATAAAAACATTTAGGGAGTTACAAAATGATTGAACTGACTTGGGCAATTGCCCCCAAAATTTGTAAAAAATGAGAAGTTATAAGGTGATGATTTTGTTGTAGGTCCAGGTCCTGGAAGGAGGCAGTTTACTGGTACGATAGAGCAGTCAATATGGAAGAAACTGATGCAGGAGGAGAATTTGACGCATGCATGGATGATCCTACTTACCAACTTCTGTCACGACAGGCAGACTTGTATCGTCAGGGAGGATTTGGCCTTGAAAAAGACCCTAACAGAGCAGGTGGGCATACATCAGGCTTCAAAACACACACAACAATCTGTTCTTCACACACCTTGTATGTTTGGTGTGAAGAACATATTGTTGTGTGTGTTTTGAAGCCTGATGTACTTACTTGGAGTATGTTTGGTGTGTGAAGAACATATTGTTGTGTGTGTTTTGAAGCCTGATGTACTTACTTGGAGTATGTTTGGTGTGAAGAACATATTGTTGTGTGTGTTTTGAAGCCTGATGTACTTACTTGTATGTTTGGTGTGAAGAACATATTGTTGTGTGTGTTTTGAAGCCTGATGTACTTACTTATATGTTTGGTGTGTGAAGAACAGATTGTTGTTCTACAGTAATCTGGTAGGTTGTACGTGTACACTGAGAACCATCTATTTTTACTTTGTTCTACAGTAATCTGGTAGGTTGTACGTGTACACTGAGAACCATCTATTTTTACTTTGTTCTACTGTAATCTGGTAGGTTGTACGTGTACACTGAGAACCATCTATTTTTACTTTGTTCTACAGTAATCTGGTAGGTTGTACATGTACACTGAGAACCATCTATTTTTACTTTGTTCTACTGTAATCTGGTAGGTTGTACATGTACACTGAGAACCATCTATTTTACTTGTTCTACTGTAATCTGGTAGGTTGTATATCTACACTGAGAACCATCTATTTTTACTTTGTTCTACAGTAATCTGGTAGGTTGTACGTGTACACTGAGAACCATCTATTTTTACTTTGTTCTACAGTAATCTGGTAGGTTGTATATGTACACTGAGAACCATGTATTTTTACTTTGTTCTACAGTAATCTGGTAGGTTGTACGTGTACACTGAGAACCATCTATTTTTACTTTGTTCTACTGTAATCTGGTAGGTTGTACGTGTACACTGAGAACCATGTATTTTTACTTTGTTCTACAGTAATCTGGTAGGTTGTACGTGTACACTGAGAACCATCTATTTTTACTTTGTTCTACTGTAATCTTGCTGATTATGTTTTACGATCCTCCAGGTGAACTGTATCAGGAAGCTGCCGATGCTGCTATGGCAGCTATGAAAGGTCGACTGGCCAATAAGTTCTACATGCTAGCAGAAGAGGCATGGGGTGAACTGGAAGAGTAAATTAATCCTTCAAGGAATGACCCGTGCAAGTTTTGAATGTTTTTCTACTGGTATTGACTGACAAGATTGTTGATACTGGTTCAGTGCTACAGATTAAAAAAATGACACTGTTAAATGTAACATAATTTCTCTACATTTATGCTATTATTTGAGATACACTTGTGAAATAGTAGTAGTTTATGTATATAACCGTGATCGCTGTGGAAATTAGACTAGTTTCAAAAAGTGAAACCCAGTGGAATAACATTTTAAAATCAATGTTAAGGATGCAAATGTTGAAATGTGGTATGATTTACGAACTTATGATCAATAAATGTGAAGACTGTGAAAGTTACGAAGGATTATAGCAGTTGGGATGAAGCGATGTGTTTTAGTGGCCCCTGGAATTTGTTAGGTATAAAAAATAAACTTTAGAATTTGTAGATAAAATGCTATCAAACGTGACAATACGAAGCTTTTATTAAATGTCTCAGAATCGTCATAATTCCATCATCGGTAGTCGAGAGGTACAAAAAATATTTCTCTCAACAGCCAAACACGATACTGTACTTCTTATAAAAAAAAATTATACATAAAAAAAACTCTTTTCTCATCCCTAAATAACACACAGTCTTCACTGGATTTAAACCTATTTTAAATATTTAACTTGTGCCAAATTTTCTCGTGTTACAATTGTATATAAAACTCTAATATGTTTAGTACCTCTGTTAAATTAAATGACAAATACCAGAACTATGTGTACTTTTTGTTTTAACAGTTGACATCTATGTAATTACTGCCACATACAGAACACGTGTAGGATATCGGTGATTTTACTTTACAAAAAACAAACAGAGTTGAACCACGAGTCACAACACCTTCCTGTGACGTCTGCTGAAACTAAATTAAATGACAAATACCAGAACTATGTGTACTTTTTGTTTTAACAGTTGACATCTCTGTAATTACTGCCACATACAGAACACGTGTAGGATATCGGTGATTTTACTTTTAAAAAGACAAGACGAGTCGCTGTGAGGCCGTTAGAAAATTGACGAACTTCTTAGAATAAACCCTGGAAATATATTTCACAAGAGTAACTGTAGAAACAATCACATAATAGAAACAGAGGAAGTGACAAACTGACTGTCACAAATTGTCATATTAAAACACAGGAAGTGACAAACTGACTGTCACAAATTGTCATATTACACACTTAAAATCCCACTTACCTGAAAATATACCACTAACTATCCCACAACTATTCTGAGATTTCCCCAATAACCGACACGAGAGGTCTCTACCAACAGTTAGCAAGACCAATGCTAGGCTGTAAAAACTTCAAAAACTAGCATGTTATATGTAATCTACTCATTTTTCAGAAAACGTAACTTGATGAAAAGCAAAACATGAATGTGATAATAGGAAGCATTTATTAAATGTTTTGGAACCATCAGTAATCTAGAGGTACAAAACAAACAATATTTGTAAGTACAACAGAAATATATACACAAGAAGTAAACCATTGGCAGCAGACGTCACAGGAAGGTGTTAGGACTCGTGGTTCAACTCTGTAAATTTGTCAAGTATTACACACTTTCTGTTGTTTACACAGTCATGGTAGTTTGATATTTCTCCAGTTTGTTATGTACTGTGTGTGATACCGGTGATTAGCAGGATGTACAAGTCAGCCAAATATGATGTTGGACAGAGTTTTTAAGATTAATTTTTCCTGCAGTATTTTCTGTCGGGTATCACCTTTGTTCTACTTGTTTCATAGAGCGATCCAAGTGATTGAAAGGGCGTACACTTGTATTTCCAACAACTAAACTGGTTATAATGCCATGTAATAGATGATAGCAACAGTTTTCATTGTCTGGAATGATCCAGACTTATGTAAATAGTTTTGATGGCAATATTTACTTTGTGGGAATATCCCAAACTTGTATAAATATGTTTGACTTCGTGGTATTAATGGTAAACCTTACCCGTGTAATATATTGTTTCTGTTTGTGTGCTACACACAATTTTTTTGTTTGTAAATATGTTTGAGAACAACAGTACTTTTTTTTAACGTGCAGTCTGACTGTAGTAATTTTACATAATTTTTACTTGTTTTTATGTTAAATATGACTTGCCAAATGTATGTTTCTTCACGAAGCATTATTGTCGTAAATCTTTAACATTATTATCTTCGTACACTTTTACGATGGTTTATTAAAAGATTAATTCATACTTGAAGTATTTTATATGTTTATTTGAATTATTTTAGGATTTTTAACTTAATATTACCAACATAATCTCTGTATGTTTTATAATAAGTCTGTTCTGGGACTTCCTGTTTTTACTTAGCATTGCTGTGAGACATTAAGATGCACTGTTTACTGTAGGATAATCTTTCTATTAGGCTTTGAATCTGATTGTTTATTATACATTAAACTTTGTGTAAAGTTTTGAATTTCATTGTTTACTGTAGGATAAGCTTCGTGTCAGGCTCTGAATTTGATTGTTTATTATACGATAAGCTTTGTGTGAGGCTTTGAGTTTAATTGTTTACTGTAGGATAAGTTTTGTGTGAGGCTTTGAGTTTTGTTGTTTACTGTAGGATAAGTTTTGTGTGAGGCTTTGAGTTTTGTTGTTTACTGTAGGATAAGTTTTGTGTGAGGCTTTCAGTTTTTTATTCTACAGTAAACAGTGCTTCGTGTGGGGCTTTGAGTTTCACTGTTTACTGTAGAATAAACTTTGTGCCAGGCTTTGAATTTCATTGTTTACAGTAGGATAAGCTTCGTGTCTGGCTCAGAGTTTAATTGTTTATTATACGATAAGCTTTGTGTCAGCCCCTGAGTTTAATCGTTCACTGTAGAATAAAGTTTGTGTGAGGCTTTGAGTTTCATTGTTTACTGTAGAATAAAGTTTGTGCCAGGCTTTGAATTTCATTGTTTACTGTAGGATAAGCTTCGTGTCAGGCTCAGAGTTTAATTGTTTATTATACGATAAGTTTTGTGTTAGCCCCCGAGTTTAATCGTTTACTGTAGAATAAAGTTTGTGTGAGGCTTTGAGTTTCACTGTTTACTGTCAGGACATGTATTGGCCCTGTGGTAGAGCTCTCAATTTTGAAGCTGACAAACATGGTTCTGATTTGTGGGTGCATTATAAGGTGGTAGGGTGCTGATGAATGGGTTTTTTTCCCCTGGTCAATAGTCCAAAATTAGGTATGACCACACATAAACGTAGTAGCTTTGCCCTAATTATAAATACCATCCTGTTGGGTTTAAATTTTTTGGTTATTACAAAATAGTACATTTGTGAGTTTAACAGTGTGAATGTTATTTTAGGTTATGAAGTAAGCTCTCAATCATAATATTATACTACCCTCTGTAAAGTTATTGGGAAGTTCAGTGAATACCAAGTTAAATTAGTGACATTTCTTTCTGTTTAACACCTTCTATGGTCAGTTATCTACATTAGTCCCGATGTAGGATCTCAGGTCTACATAGTCTGTATTTTATAGGACAGTAAAACACTCAGGTTTCAACCTTTTTTTTTTTGTTTGTTCATGTAAGGTAAAGCAATACATATATACTAAATGACGTGACCGTACGTCACTCCCTGGGACACTCTAAAGATACCTTTAACGTTTGGTAGAATTCAGGGTATACATAGGGGGTTCAGACATGAACACCAACTTCTTTACATGTTACATACCAAATTTATTTGAGATCAGTCAAGAACTAAAGGCCTGAAAGAGGGACACTCAGAAGACTTCTATTTTATCTATCTATGGAAAACAAAAACAGGAAAGTAAGCTAACAAATAAACCACATAAAATGGTCAGGTATCAAAGCAGGGAGGAAGAAAATATTTCAATTTTTCAGAACTTCGAGTGTAGATCAAGGAAGATCTAAATAAAATGAGTTTTGTAAAGACCGGTTCTGAAGATATTAGGATAAGTTCAGGTCTATATTAAAACTGATTACCTTAATTGTTTGTTTCCTAAGATTCTTTAAGGAAATATTTTGATTTGAATCATATTATTGTCTCGTGGAATGTTTTTATAAGTTTTATTTACACTTTAAAGCACCATTTCTATGATTATGATTTAAACTTTATATTAAATAATTTCAAGTTATATGTTTTGAGATATATATATATTCGTACTTGTTTTATATTGAAGTTGTACATATTTTGATGTTTGTTTTTCTAGTTCTAAATAATTTTTTTCCTGTCTGTGATTCGTTACCTTTTCTGAATACTTATTGATCATGATTAACGACCATAATAAATGTATTTCCAATCATTTTAACATTGTTAATGGCCAGCGAATTTATTATTATTTTATTTGGTAAATTAGTTTACACAGTTTTTAATAAACTGATTTAAAACACCTATAATGAGATGTGGATTTTTATGAAAAGGACTATAGGTTTTATATCAAACATCTAACCTTCCATCCAATTGATACATCAATAATATTTCTCATTCCATTTCTCGGTGAAAATAGATCTCATGTAATCCAGGTAACTACTTTGTACAATAAAATAAACGTTTGTTAACTTAGTATAAGTCCATGTGCGTGTTAGATTGGATATAATTTCTCAATATACCAATTATATTAAAATAATTTTTGTGTATATGCGTCTTCAAAGTTTGTTTTACTTGTCATACTCTTGTTGTACGTGATTTCAGACGGTAGTGTATTTATCGTATAAAATGGGACTATTTTCTTTCCGCAAAGGGTTTTGTTAACTTTCTATTTCTGATAGCGATCTTAGTGTTGAAACATAGCCGTTTTAACGATTTTCATTTACGCTACTTGTTAAACATTAGAATATGTTTACAGATCTGTTTTTATTGTTCCAAAAACTATCCTTCACCAACTTTGACTTGAAAGACCAACATTTTTCTGATTGATATTTTGTTTATATTCGTACTTATGTCTGTCAGTTTAAAAACAACACTTTCAGGACCACATGTTTAGCTAGAATTGTGAATGTATAAATGCTTAGATACAATCTGTGTATTTAAATGTTTTCTTCGTAGATAGTCACTGAATTAAATGAAAATGTAAAGGATTTAATACTTGTTAGATTTGGAGATAATTTTGAAGAGAAACCTATTTTTGTCGGGATATTTTATTGAACTACTGAACTATATTTCAGAATAAAGTAAAGGGAATCAGACAGCTCTAACTTGTTAATGGACAATCTGTAAGCCTAATCTGATAATTATTTTATAAGTTAATTTGTATCCAAATATCTAAAGGTTTTTTGGTTTGTATTGAGTTTTTATTTGGTGAATTTCTATGTATAAAAACTTATAAAGTGAATAAAGAAAGTGTCAGAAAAATACTACCATTTTGTGGTGAGTTTTATTTTGAATCTGTTAATTTAACGTCAGTTTATGTTTTAAACAAGTTCAACTTTCACTGGAGACGAAACTGCAAGGATCAAAGTAAGGGACAGCAGTGGAAAACTACCCTTTTAAATAATATAGTGTTAAGTACCAAGAGACAGTAGTGGAAAACTACCCTTTTAAAAATATAGTGTTAAGTACCAAGAGACAGAAGTGGAAACTACCCTTTTAAATAATATAGTGTTAAGTACCAAGAGACAGAAGTGGAAAACTACCCTTTTAAATAATATAGTGTTAAGTACCAAGAGACAGAAGTGGAAAACTACCCTTTTAAATAATATAGTGTTAAGTACC